CATCTCAAAGACTTCAGTAACCTCGAAGCGCTTAATCATTGCCTCACCATCCTCTTCATCTTCTATGGGATCACGAGCGCTTGAGCTGGCCTTGTCAATCGTAAACCCGGCCTTTTGCAGCTCTTCATAGTGCTCGTCTTGGAGTTTGGAAGTTCTTGGGGTATATAGCAACATCACAACCCGATCTCCATCCCATGGTTGAACTTCATGCCATTGACTGGGAGTGAACTCTACAAGCTTATCCTTTTCCAGGGTTAGCACACGACCCAGCACCTGTTTCCCATTCGGTAGGACCTTCTCAATGGCTTCTGAAGGATCAGCATCACCGTCTTGAATCCACAGGTTGCCTCCCGCAAACTCAGTCAACGGCAACACCATATTCAATGTCTCCCTCGAATTGTGAGAGTCGCGATGGATTCCCAGGGTTGTGTTGCGCGTAATTCCCAAAGCGCTGAATGTCTTATCTCCACTGAACTTCTTTGCGAAGGTCGTCAGGAACTTTGTTGTCATAGGGTACTCCTTTAAGTTGGAACGAACGCCTGCTTTGCCACCATGGACGAATGCCCCAGTGAACCATGTAGTCATTGAAGTTTTCTTTGACGCCCGAAAGTCAACATCACCGAGCTCCTCAAGTAGGTTGTAGATCTCGACAACCTGCTCCTTGGTGTAGTTGTTCTCTGACATCGCCTTCCTAGAGACAAACTCAATCTCTTCTCGAAGCTGCCTTTTGGAGGGAGGTAAATCATCACCACGTAGGCCTTCAACTTCTCCTTGTACGGTAGCATGTGGAAGAAGGTCCTGTAGGTCTCTTTCTGGTTCCACCAAATTGAACTTCACTCCCTTTGCAACAACGAGTCCTCCGTCTTCACGTTGAATGAGGTGGCCCCGGCTTACTTCCCTTGATGGGCCACGATAGAGCCCCTTTTTCCATCGAACGCCGTCGGGGTCATACTCTTTCTCTTTCTTTCCTTTATAGGCCTTTGCCCGAAACCACACCTCAGTACCAAAAGCAACTGCTGGAGGGTTTGTCCATGAGCTCGACGGGAAAGCCTTCGACCACAGGCTACTTGCTGCGTGATCCATTGCCATCGGCCAATCTTCTGGTGGTGCACTTGCACTTCTGAGTAGGCTTCGCACACGAGCTTTCGCCCACTTCACTCCCAGCTCCGCCGTGCTGTTCCCTGCCGGGTCGCCTCCAGCTGTTTTCGTATGCCTGAGCTTCTCTTCATTGACCCAAGCTTTGAACATCTTGGTCTTGAACTCCCTTGCTCTGTCCGTGTGCATATGAGCAACATGCAGACCGGTTTGTCGTAGCTGTAGAAGGATTTCTTTAGCCGCTTGTAGTACCGCAGGTCCAGTTCTCCTCCTCAAACAGCGCGTCACATAGATCGTGGCGTAATCCACTTTCTTAGTGAGCTCTTCGACCTCACTTTCCAATTTTTCGGCCTCCTCGGTTGACGACTCCTCGGCCTCCAGGTCCTTCTCATCATCTTCCCCCAACACCAAAGGATCTTCACCTTCAGGGACTTCCTCGTCTTCAGAAGGAACATATAGCTCACGCTCAAGCTCTGTCAAAGCCATGGAACTCAAGTACTGACGAGGGCAGCGATAAGCAGCAACCATAATGTACTTGTAGTCATCGAAGTCCATGTCACGTCCTTTCTTTTTGAAAGGTCCAGCCAGGTCCATTGCCACCGCATACATCCCTGGAAACTTCCTCCGCTTGTGCTGGTAACCAGTGGCCTGTGCATTAACACATACCGAGCAATCAGGTCGATAAGGTTGGTGATCGTTGTGGATGTGGTCCCTCCATTCCCGTCGTTGTTCTCGGGTTAGTTTTTTAAGGCTGGCTTCCTCATCCTTGATCTCCTCCTCAGACATGGCAGCCTCATCGTAGCAGCCCAGGATGTTCTGCGCGAGGATTTCCTTGAACTCCCTTGACCATTTGATCATTTCATCGTACTTCAAGAGTGATGACGGCACACATATACTTGAAAAGTCCCAGTTGTTGTTCATATGGAGCATCCCCGGGTAGTTCGTAGCTGCGGTAGTTGGCTTCTTTGCCTTGTGTCCGTAGGCTCCCATGTAGAAGTCGATCCTTTTCATTCCGCTGACAGACTTGAAGGATTTCCACATCTCAGTTGACCAAAAGGATGCTTGCACCGGTTGGTCCGCCCTCAACTTCTCAGGATCCTGGGACATGTCCATGAAGAACCCAACTTCCCCGCGTCCTTTCGCTGAAGCAATCATCCACACAACCAGCTGTTTGGCAATGCTAGCAGTTTCTTGATCAACTCGATGTTGCTGTAGAGGTTGGAGAGGTTGTTGTCCATAGGGTGACGTTGTAGTCCTCATCGGATAGGATCCAGGTCCTCGGGTCGGCGCCATTGATGTGGGCCACGTAGTGTGTGGGGGCGTACCAATTACATCTGTGATCTTCCCTTGTGCCGCTGCCCATAGCAACATTCGATAAGCTCCTTCTTTGCGGTGCAAGTCCCATTGCTTTGAAGCCTTTGCGTCAATCTCAAGAACCATCTTTCCACCTCTGGAGATCACATTGAAAGGCCCTTTTTCTCCATCACCGTCTCCAGCATGAAGGTGAATAACCCACGAACTCGACCTCATCAACGCACGCCTCCTCCTCTTTGACAATGGGAGGTCCTTTAGGTATCGTTCACCGCCGTCCGGATCAAAGCCTTCGGCAAGCATTGCATGCACCTCACTTGGGAGATCCTTTGTCACAGGACATAGAAGAAGGGCTCGCAAAATAGTGGCCTGGCATCCAGTCTTCACATAATCCTTCATCAACTCATCCCACGTCCTCTTCTCTTCTTTTCGAAGCACTTCAAGTCTCGCAGTCAAAGAGTTCACCTGCGAGCTGAGCTGGGCCAAGTGTTTCTTCTCCAACTCTGTTATGAGTTTGTGGGCTTCCTTGAAATTCACTTCAGGACAGTTGTTGTTGAGGTAGATTTTGATGAAGCCCTTCGTCGGATGCCTGAGCTTTAGCCTTCCTCGATTCCATTGCAGGCTGCAACCAAGGTCCTCAATCAGCGCTCCCATTGGCACAATTGGTTGGATGCGTTCGTTGCCGTCGTTGGTGACCAGAACAGTGCCGCAAACATTCTGACGTAGGACTCTGGTATCTTCGCCCGCAAGCGTAACTTTCACTGGGACTCCCTTATCGTACTCCTCCTGGGTTGCCTGCTTAAGGGCATGGCTTGCGCCACTGTCCAAAAGTCCTCGGGGTCCTTCATCTTCGCCTTCACTTTGTTCCTCCACCTCAGACTCCTCAGACTGAGAACTCCGTGTAGTTCCCGAACCGGTAGCCATTGTTGAGCCCGCGGGTTCAGGACCGTTGCCTTCCTCAGCAGCTGTGAGGCTCCTTATGCTAGCACCATGGGTACTTTCCATATCCTTCACGGTGAACTTTCGCAAAGAGGACGCTGTCATCACCTTCAGCATTTTTCCAACGTCTGCCAAGACTTCCTTTAGGTCCGGGACCGTCTCGTGAGTGGTTGATGTAGAGGACGAAGGAGCTTCTTGAACCTGGGCCCGTTCATCAATTCGGACGGTCTTCGTTGAGGTCGACGGTGGGGTTGTTGTTGGAGGCGGTGCCTTGCTCGGAGCTGCCTTGGGTGTACCCGCCGGTGTCGCAGAAGAGGTAGAGGAGGGCGTGCTCGGCTTCTTTGTCGGGCACTCCTTAGCCATATGCTTGCCTCCACAAAGGTGGCAACGCACAGCCTTCTCTTTCTCATTGCCTTCCCAAGAGTGTTTGAATGGGCACTTAGTTCCACGGGCGCAACCCTTGAAGGACTTCCCGAAGTAGCGACAAGGAACCTGGCCCCTTTTGTCCACTTCTTCTTCACCACCCTGACCGCCTGTAGTAGTCCTTGACGTCGAAGGAGGTGCAGGTGGTGGCTGTGGTGGCCCTCCTTTTGGCTCCGGCTTCATTGGCTTGATCTTCGGATCCGGCTTGTTTGGAGTGCTTGTGCTCGTAGAGCCCGGAGTCTGAGAGTTCACCGCCATGGCTTCGCATTCTGCCAAAAGGTGGTGGTAGTACTGGTCCACTGAGTCATAGGAGGGCTTCGTATCCACGAGCAAGTTGCTTCTCACCAAACTTGTACGAAAGCTTACTTCTTGATCCCGCTCGAGCACTGACCGAGTCATGTTGGTCAAGCCCCTAGCCAGAAGGCTAGGATCTGGAGCCGAAACTCCAAGGTCTCGGCAGCGACGAAGCCACCTTGCCCATGCCCTCAGCGCCACTACTGCCTGGTGAGGATCCCTTTCTTCACCAGGTTGTTGAAGACTTTGAAGTATGGTGACTTTCTCCTGCTGTCCTCCTGGTTGGTAGATCGTCAGGAGCCGGAATAACAACGCTGTCGCCGAACCTGTAGATCGTCTCGAAACCATTTCTTGGCGAACTGTATCATGAAGCGCAAGAAGTAGCATTGAAGAGGCCCTCGAGTTAACTCTACTCCATCGACCCGTCTCCAGTTCTGCAACATGTGGTGGCATGATCCTCAACTTCTCGATGGGGCTCGCATCCGTCCAAAGCTGGTACGCCTTAGAGGCTTCCCTTTTTACCAAGGACCACCATTCACCCGAGCCGTCACTCAGGTCAGACATTGGAGCAGCAATCAGTTCTAGCCAGTCCATAATGTCCACTGATGCCGTAGAGGACGACACTTGAGGAAGTAGAGGAAGTGCTGAAACACCAGGCTTCACCGTCTCAGGGCTTCTCTCACCTGAACGGTCTTTATCACTCGAAAGCTGCTGAAGCATGACCGCTTGCAACTGAGCCATTCCTCCTGCCAGCAGTGCCATTGGGTCTGTTTTTTGATCTCCTCCAAGCCATTGCTGTGCCGTCGGCTGCTTCGCAGAGTCTGGTCCTCTCCCGTCATCAGCACCAGAAGTGGTCTGAGAAGCACCTACTCCACCGTAGCCAGATCGCTCATGTTGAACATTCGTGAACTCAGCGGACTGTGTCTCAAAACCATTTCTTACGGACTCACTTGCTGCCTTCGGAAGCTGCGTATGACTCGGGAATCCTGTCCCAGAATCACCACGGGACTGGACATTATGATCACCTGGAAGCTGTTGAGAAGGATCACCTGGAAGCTGTTGACGCGGATCACCTGGAAGCTGTGTACGCGGATCACCTGGAAGCTGTGTACGCGGATCACCTGGAAGCTGTTGAGAAGGATCACCTGGAAGCTGTTGAGAAGGATCACCTGGAAGCTGTTGACGCGGATCACCTGGAAGCTGTTGACGTGGATCACCTGGAAGCTGTTGCCGTGGATCACCTGGAAGCTGTTGAGAAGGATCACCTGGAAGCTGTTGCCGTGGATCACCTGGAAGCTGTTGACGTGGATCACCTGGAAGCTGTTGCCGTGGATCACCTGGAAGCTGTTGCCGTGGATCACCTGGAAGCTGTTGCCGTGGATCACCTTGAGGCTGTGCGTGTGATTCAAGCAGGCTTCGCGCTGTCATCTCCCATTGCAATCGCTCGTTTTTCAAGTGCTCCACTTCCAAAGCCATCTTTCTCATCTCCTCTCGGTGCTTAGCATTGTACTCATCCAACTGACGTTGTACTTCAGCTTGTAGCCGCGACGAGTGTTCACTACCGCCTTCTGAAGCTTGTCCGTAGATATGAGGGTAGTCACTCTGAGCTTGTCGCATTCGTTCCAGTTGAGCTGGGCCAAAAAGAGGAGGTTCTGCCGGTTGCGGAACTTCCCATGACCTTGGTAACGGCTGTATCGGTCTACTTGGTGGAGGAGGCGGAGGAAGTTCTTCGGGAGGTGAGTACACTACCATAGCAGCTTGCGTAGCCGTAGTTTGCGACATAGGACCGAGTCTTCTCACATTCGTAGGGTCTGAGTGATACTGGGGAATTCCCAGCCCATCCAGAACTCGGTCTACGCCACTTGCACCACGGTCTGCTGCTGTCCGAAGAAACTCCGTAAACCGTGCCATCCACCTAACACCATGTTGTTCACCTGTCGTAGCTCTCGATTGCGCCGTGTAGTACTCCTGGACTCTCACCGCTGAGCTCATCGGGGTAGTAGGCGGCTCGCTCTGTCCTCTCGTAGGCAGGTTAACTTCAGTCCTTCCAGCACTGTTCGTTATAACGTTCGCGCCCCGGTGCGGTTCATCATAGTTAGGCTCCACTTGCAAAGGAGGTTCCCTTGGAGGTGGAGTCGCTGAAGTCACATCTGCCGAAGGTTCCAGAGGAGGGGCCGGGTCATGTAGGTTGGGATTTTCCGTCCTCAAGAACTCGGCTGAGCTTCTCGACCTCTGAGGCCTTTCACTTGCAGTCACACCGTTCGGAAGTCCTGACGAACTTGCCACTTCTTGCGAGCTAGCCGGCCGTGTTGCGGAGCTTGAACGCTCTGTACTTTGGGCGACCATAACCTATAAATCACGTAGATCTCGAATTGAAGCTCCACGAGGCTGTTAGAATGCAGGGCTTATGCCGTCGAGGCGCCAACCATTAAGCCACGTTCGCGAGCTAAACTCTTTTTCAGTTCAAGCACATGTGACTATGGCTTCCACCAGCTGCCTATACATTGAACGTTGCATACTTGACAAAGTGCAGCTATTTGGCGATTGCCTACTGTCCTGTGCAAGAGCCATAAGCGACTCAATCAAACACACACATGATGTTACATCAGTTCCACGGGAATGCCAGATATCAGCAGAAAGCTACGGCAACAAAGGCGGCTCCGAAAGCAGCCAAGGCCAAGGCTAAGGCGAAGGCGAAGGCCGTTCCGCAGATGCCAGTGAAAACTGAGCCGGCAGAGCAGGCCCCGCTGGATGGTGTGGATCCAGCCGAGGTCAAGAAGATGCAGAGCAATTTGTCAACCCAGGGGAAAGCGAACTTGAAAAAACTCAAGGAGTACAAGGAGGGCAAACTCTCCTTATCACCGAAAGAGCTTGAGACCTTGGAATCCAAGGTTCAGTTTTACAACGAGTACGGGAATCTCGGCCGGAACCAGCACCACGAGAGAATGATGATGCTGGCCAGCTGGAACCAGGATAGATCCGGAAAGGCTTGGGCACAGAAGACGAAGACCTTCGAGACACAGACGAAGACCACAGAGGGGACCCTGGCCGGGTTCATGACCCGCACCTTTTCTGCATTGCTATGCAGGCATGCATGTAGAAATCGATACTAGATATATATAGTATATGTATATACATGCATATATATATCTATAGGATCCTAGGAGTCGATCATGCATGCACTCGATCGTAACCTTGGTCTGCATGCCTCCTTTTGAACACATGAAGTTCAGGATTCGAGATCGCTCAGCATGAAAACATGGATGTGGACGACAAGCTGCTGCTTGCGATTTTGAACGAGACCCCCTTCGACTACGACTGGGACGAGTCCTCAGCGAGGGAGAGGGCATTGAAAAAACAGAAAGAGAAGCGATATCACTATGGCAAGAGGAAGCATGCCGAGACAGACTCCGTGACTTTGGAGACGGACGCCATGCATGCCGGTTTCGACTGCAATGACAAAGAGAAGCAGAACATGCTCCTCAACGAGGCCTCGGGATCCGGAGGGAACCCCACCGTCACAGTCGTGAACCCCGAGCTGGTGGAGTTCAAGGGTCAGCTCGGCATTTTGCAATCTGGCAAGATCAAGCTGGAAAAAATCGAGACGCAGCTGAAGGACTTGTCCGCCAGGGGAGCACATGCCGGTGTTACCGGGACCACGGCCACGGAGATGGACAACGCACTCAAAGAGCTGGACACTTGGCTCAAGGATGCTCGCCTCGCTTTGGCCACCCTTGAGTCGATCCAGGCCCCGAGTGCTGACAATAAGGCCCAGGTCGCTGAGATGATTGCTGAAGCAGTCGTCCACCAGGATGCTGCTGGCAAGATTCTAAAGAAGGCTAAGGCCATTCTGTCCTGA